CAAATTACTCTGTCCTATTTTGAGTACATGGGTCAGAACATGTATCTAAATTTTTTATTTAGAAAATATCATTACTGTGTAAACAGTGAACAATATCAGGCCCCCTGAGGGTATTCATTCTCTTAGACATGGATCATCACTTGGCTTCCTGAGGAAAGTTTTCTAATCTTAGCTATTCAGGAAAAGAGAGTAGGCTCTCTTTAAAAAAACAAACAAACAAACAAACAAACAAAAAAATCTGAGAATGGTTAGTTTTACTGTGGTGCCCCCTAGTGCTGTAAGAGATTTGACTCACTCTTATTTGCCAATACATAGACAACATGAGAGAAGCGAAATTTGGAGAGGCAACAATTTTAGTAATTTGCCCTGTATTCTCTTTTGCATAGAATGAAGTGTGCTCCCTTTGCATGACTCACAAGACCCTTTGTGACCTGCCCCCGCCAAGGTTTTTGGCCTCACCTTTTGCCACTTTCCCCTATGAACACTCAACTTCAACCACTCTGAACAAATTGCGGTTCTACCGAGTAAGCCTTCTGACCCTGTCAAAGGCCACCATCTCTCTTGTCCATTTAAAGAATTTCCACTCCTCCTTCTAATCAGCTGAAGCATTACCTGTTCCCCCAGCTTCTACCATCTCTGAGTTTCTGGGAGTTTATCTGTAAATAGACTATGTCTAATGCCTGCTCAAAAATCCAAAGATTCTGTGTTTTTATCAGTACTTACCCTGAAAACCTGAAAATACTTAATGACAAGTTCAGTTCAACACTTCAGATGTTTCTTTTTCATTCTCACAGAATTGTTTATGAAATGCAAACTCAGATGTATTGGAAATCACTTATTTGCCTGTTATTTAAAAGAAGAATTTCTTAAAAATGTGTTCGATTACATGGGGGATGCATTTAAATTGAGCTAATCTCGGGGCGCCTGGGTGGCTCAGCTGTTAAGCGTCTGCCTTCGGCTCAGGTCATGATCCCAGGGTCCTGGGATCGAGCCCCACATCGGGCTCCCTGCTCAGCGGGAAGCCTGCTTCTTCCTCTCCCACTCCCCCTGCTTGTGTTCCCTCTCTCGCTGTGTCAAATAAATAAATAAAATCTTTAAAAAATAAAATAAAAAAATAAATTGAGCTAATCTGAAATGAGATTTCTTCAGGCAAAAACACCTCTTTTTCTTCCTAATTGATACAAATAAAAATCCAAGTTATAGCCTGAAACTTCATCAAGAAACTGTGAGTTCTAATTCTGGGCATCATTGGTACAGAACCGATCACTCACTTTCCAAGTACCCCTATTTCTGTTCTTCCCAGCAGTAAAAGTGGTAAGAGTGTAAATCTTTCACTGTGGGATTTGCTGAAGAATTATCACTAAAAGCCCTCACATATATAAAGTGCTACTGTAAAGGTGGTACAAATCTTAGAAAAGCCCTGGCTTCAAAAGCCCTGAGACACGTGGATATAATTTTTTTTCTTTTTTGGGGGGAGAGAGAGATAGCAAGAGAGCACGAGCTGGGGGTGTGGGGGAGATAAGCGGGGGAGAAGACATAGGCTCCATGGCTGAGGAGGAAGCCCAACACGGGGCTCGATCCCAGGACCGTGGGACCATGACCTGAGCCAAAAGCAGACGCTTAACCGACTGAGCCACCCAGGCGCCCCACATGGATATAATTTACGAAAGCTTCACGCATTATAGGTCAACTCTTTTCTGCCATTGTTCCCAGCTAGTTGTACACCACAGGTACAACTAGGAGCCTGATACTTTAAATGGTAGTCCCAATAAATATCCAAACAATGTGTATTGATTTTGGTGACAGAAACACTCAGTTTTATAACTTGTATCATGGATATTCTTCTAGGGCATCCACTTCTTTCCCCTTTCTAAATAAGGCATTTAGCTAACCCAGAATAGGTGATATAGATAAGTATATGATATTTTATATATGATATATATATATGATTTATATATGATATATAAGTACACATTACAAATATATGTGCAGGGGCGCCTGGGTGGCTCAGTCGTTTAGCGTCTGCCTTCGGCTCAGGTCATGATCCCAGGGTCCTGGGATCGAGCCCCGCATCGAGCTCCCTGCTCCGCGGGCAAGCCTGCTTCTCCCTCTCCCACTCCCCCTGCTTGTGTTCCTGCTCTTGCTATCTCTCTCTCTGTCAAATAAATAAAATCTTTAATAAAAATATATATATGTGCAAAATTTATTTCCTCCAGTCCTTTCTTAAGAAGCAGGAAATTCATAAGCTTAGACACAAAAATCTATTTACTTATATTTTGTATTTCTCAAAACCTCACACCCGTTCTACAAATATATATATAAACTACATACTCACAGGATATTGAGCTAGAAGAGATCTTTCTGATCATGTGATCCAACTGTCTTGTGTTAAAATGAGTAAATCAAGGCCCAAAGAGGGAAGTTACGGGAGTAGTGGGTAAGACCTATCTTTTTTTCTAATATCTCAAAAACTAAAACTTCTGCTTTTCATATAAGTAAATACAACTTAACAGAATTGTGAGAAAACAAAGGTTACTAAATAAATATGATTGAAGGGAAAGTCTCCTGTCAAATGAAGTTTAATAGTTCTATCTGTATTTTTTTTTTTACAGAGCTGTACATGTAGGCAGTTATTTTATAAAGCTGAAAGTTAAACCTAGGAAATAAGGAAAAACCATGATTGTTCTCCAAATATGTTTTCCTACAATAAAAGAGATCCGGTTTAACTGGACAAATGATCAGCATTTCAGCATAATTTCACCCCTAAGACACATCACTGGAATATTATGTTTTATAAAAGTAGAGGTTTGATTTATATCACCACCAACCCCATCCTTTGACCAAAATTCCAGTCTTATCAATAAGTTTAGGAAGACTACCAGTCTATGTCCCTTTTTCAACAGCTACACTACACCCTTCTCTCTCTTTCTCTCTCTCTCTCTCTCACACACACACACACACTGCCACCACCACCATTTGATCAAATTCCAGGGAGAACACACATGACCCATCTATGCTATCCTTCCCCCAATAGACTACATGAGATTAAATGTAAGGACACATTGTGCTGCCCTGGGTCCTACAACAGTACAAGAAATTATGTTAGTTATGACAGTCTAGCTAAGAAATAAGATAAAAATTAAAGGTGATATGAAGTGAAGAATTTCAAATATCTGTGCCAAAAAAATTCTGTACCCCAAGTACATGAGAGCACATTTCTTGAGCAAACAGCTCTAATATACCTCCTATGTCTTTGCTTCCATTTCTGTGCCAGGACCAGAGAAAGCTAATTCCCTCCCAGAGATCGGCTCACTGAATTCTAGCATCCTGGAAACCTGCACTTAGCTTTCCCTCCAGGCTCTGTCACAGAGTCACTGGGTGACTTGCCAAAAGGACCCCTCTCCTTCTCAGCATCTCCTGGGTATTAACCGTCTGGGGCAGTCCCGCCACCAGCTGGCTATATATCTGTTTCACCTTTTTGTCTCTCCTGCTCAGAGCCCCAGTACAATTGTTGAGCCTTGACTGGGGCCATCTGTCCTGTCTTTCTACCACCCCACAGTGTAAGGAAATATGTAACACTGTGGGTTGTCTGAAAAAGCACTCTCAAGGCTCCTAGACCTGGTGAATGCACTCAGCTGTTCTATTTTTGGTCATTCTCTTTGTTTTCTTCTCAGAAAAGCCTAATTCCGGTCTATGTCTTAGGCATCCTGCCATGGACACGTTACTCCTCCCCCTCCCCTCCCCCAATCGCCTACTCTAATTTCATCCAAGGGTCTCTGCACAGAGAAGGAAATGTGTGACAAGACCAAGAGAGGACTAGCACATTGTTGTGCTCATTGGTCTGCAGACTTGACATGACACCAGCTACACTTGTGGAATTTAGGAACATGAGCCCTCTCTGCGGTACACTGATCACAACCACACTCCCACCAGCCTCTGTGCACCAAAAACCCCTACTTCCTGTAGACAAAGACAAGCCCAGGCGTTGGTTAGGACTCTGCTTATCTTATCCTGGTCTAATTTGAGGTACCCAGTCTCTGACATGGTTATGAGAATAAGTTCCCTTTGTCTCACCTTTACCAGAGAAAGACTTTTCTAACCTAAAGTGACCTGCCAAGGAAACAAGAATTATCAGACTAGCCCCACCAAGGGAACAGGGGAAGACTATACATGTATATTCTTTTCAGTGGAATCTCCTGCAGCCAAGAACATCCTTAAAGACCTAGTAATGTTTGTAGATATAAACAAGTAAATAAGAAAAAATAATGTAGAAGGAAAAAGGGAAAGAATATCGTCATTAAGTGGGAGAAATACTTAGAAAAATGATCACCCACTACATAGTGCACTGGAAAAAAAGTGGAAAAAGACAAAGTGATGTCCGTAAGTTGCGATTGGCAGAGAAAGACTGAAAAATAATCTCTGATTAAGTTATCAGGGTAAATATTTGGCCATGTATGAATACACACTTGAACACACACCTCTCTGCCCTTACAGTCCATAGGTTAGCTATTTAAAGGACTTAATATTGATACCTTCAGCATTCTTCAAAAAGCAAATAGCCTGTGGGGTTTATGAATACAGTAGGAAAGTGGAACTGGTCCCTTTCTTATTTCCTTTTTATATAAATTCCCTGATCAGATGCTTGCTAGCAGAATGGGTAAAGCAAGTATATCAGTGACTCCAGGCTTCAAAGTGAGAGCTCATAAAGGAATACCAAGATTCTTGCATTGCAAAAAAAAAAAAAAGAAGAAGAAGAAGAATCCAGAAGCAGTGCCCTTGCCCTACCTACCTCTACTCTGCCCCACCACTGCCACTACCGAAAAGAAGGAAGGAAAGGAGAGACAAGAGGGTGTTTGACCACACTTTATACAATCGCTGGGGGGCAGATGAAGGGCAATGAGCAGTTTTGGCACCAGATATTTCCAAGTGACTGGAGCTGCTGGAGCTGCCATCAGCATGAGCTGGAGGAAACAAAGTGCCCACAGGAGCATCCATCTTACCTGGGAAGCATAGAAGTTCAGGCAGATGTAGGTGAAACACAGGAGCAGTCCCAGCCCCTGAATTACAGCTGCCACCAGCAATAGCTTGTTCTTCTGGAATCTTCGCCCTGGTGTGTTTCCCACATTCTCATCCAGGGGTTGGACCCCTTCCATCTTCACAGTTTGGATGCAAGGAAGATGAAAACTGTGGCAAAGGGGAGCCTGAGGGGGACTGACCTCTTCTCCACAAAGAAGGAGATGAAGGGAAAACAAAGCTTATCAATCAGAAAATACACAGAGGTCCCAGGACCAGAGATAAGAGACGATTGAAAGAGCAGAACGCACTCTCTCAGTTTTAACACTGCAGCTTCTGCAGGCAGGCGGGGGAACTTCTTTGTGACTAATCTGAATTTCCCCTTTACTTTCTTTCTTTTTTTTTCCTCTGGGCTAACAGGGAGTTGTTTTTGTAGCATTCCAGTTCTGATTTGAGTGACTGTGAAATGACAGTCATAAAAGTGTGCTAATTTCTTAATTTCTCATTGCACCAGTAACCAAATTGTGGGTCATTTGATAGAGATAAAAATCATCATCCGTTGATGTAGGAGTTCCTGTATCCCTTCCCTGAGGTGTCTTAAGTAAGAGAAGAGATTGGAGGGAAATGTTGGACTTAATTTCTCATCTGCACTTTATTGAGTAACTAAGCATTGAACCGTTGTACAAATATCCGTGGATATATAAAAGCACACACAGGCCATTCTTGAAATGAAAGAGAGAAGAGAAGAAAATGGGATGGTGGTCAAGTAACAATAAAGGAGTGAGATCCTCTGGTTTTAGTACATTACATTATAATAATTATTGAGCATCTCCTATTGTCAGACACTGTACTAGATAGATAGCCTTATGATCTTTTTCTCCTTTGATCTCTTGAGGCAAATTTAGTAAGCATTTACATGATTAATTTTAAGCATAGCAGAAAAGAAGCAGAAGAGTATCCTGAACTTTTCCCCTTCCTTCCACTTTTCCTTGTCCCCTTATATAATTTTTGTGTGAATGAAGAAATGAATAGATTGAAATAGATTGTTCCTTCCTTTGAGGTCAGGGGTGGGACTCAGAACTTGGAAAGTAAGAGTATTCTACCAATAGATGGACACTACTCACCCTTGAGCCCTGAAATAAATGATGAAATGATTTATAAAATCAAGTCCAGATTGACAAATATTTACTGGATACATGGTAAACCCAGTGCTGTACGGGAGGACATGGGGATGCTGGGGAGGGGAAGTTTAAGGCAGAATTCTGTTTCTTCTGTGGGCAAGTAGGTCTCTCTAAGCTTCCCATGAGCCATTCAATAGATATTTAAAGAAAGGAGGGAGGAAAGACTATTTTGATATCAACAATAGGAGATGCTATATCAACTTAATTTTATAGAAAGTGAATATGAGGCATATTCCAAAGAGAAATAGTTTGTGGAAAATGGAAAATACTTTATTACAGCATAAATCGAAGAAGGTATGAATTAATATCCTCATTATAATCATTATGCCTTGCACTTGGAGAACACTTTGGTCTTCAGAAATTCAAGTTTTTGTCTGGAAGATAAAACTTTATCATAGTTTTATCTATGATAAAATAGTTATCAAAGGTAACACTTTATCATAGACTCCAAGCCAAAATTAAAAAGCAAATTCCATTGAAACTTATCTGTAGCTAGTTATTCCTATGAGCAAAGCATGTGTAACATACAGGGTGTGGAGGGGGGAAAAACTGAAAAAAAAATCAGTGTGTAGAGCCCAATTCTTGTGTAATAGCTGATAGTCATAAATAGATGTTAAAATTGGTAACAACTTACTCATTTATTTTCAAAACCCAACTAAAAGAGTAACGCCTAAAATACTAAAAGAAACTATAAAGACTAGCTGTAAAAAATCTATGAAAACTATTAATGCTGAAATTATAGAAAATATTTTTAAATGACTGCCAAAAGGATGGAAAAAATAAACATTTAGTGTGTGTACTTGTGCCCTGAGCTGCATCTCTTCTCATTATTAACATCGTGGTTTCTATGAAGAAAAACTACAATTACTGTTTTTTGTTATAGACAATGAGAACTGTGCAACAAAATAAGCTTCCATTTTTGTGTTGTCCCAAAAGAGCGCGGGGTCGACCCTTGCAATGTGTAGGTCTACACGAGTGCGGCGCACCTCTCACCTCCCTGTCTGGATCTCCAACGCCATATTTTGCTTACTTGTGATGTTTAGGTTAAAGTTCAAGTGATGGTATACATCGAAACATTTCTCACCCGGCATAAGCTGGGTGCCGGCATACTGGTGCTAGGGAAATGACATGAACAAAACACATTCTTAGTCCTCAAGGAGGTCATAGACAGGAAGGCAGGACAGTCACAGGCGGGAAACGAAGAGCAGTAATAGCTGGGCAAGGAATGAGGGAAACGCAACATGGTGAAGCTGCTTTTGCATTGCCCATTTGGGAACTGTGACTAGAGAGGAGGACTGTGAAGGAGAGTGGCCGGGGAAGAGGCTTGAGAAGCTGTCACAAATGGACTTTTGTTCTAAGAACTTCGAACTTTATCCTGAAGGTCTTAGGGAAACAAAGAAAGGTTTGAAGCAGAATGTAATATGGTGACATTTTAGAAAAATATCTCCTTGAGTGAAATAGAAATGGCAGAGCAGGATCAAGGGCACTAGCTGGGGGACTTTTCCAGGGCGCCCTGTGGCATCTGAGGAGAAGAGTGTGGTCTGAAGCCACCTCTGCCCTGAGCTGTCCCTGTCCTCCATCCTTGAATGGAAGGCTTCGCCCTATAGGAAGGGCAACCTTTATCTTCCCACAAAGGTGTGCATGGCTTCCCAAGCCCCAAGTGGACAAAGAGTCGCATCTACCCAAATAAAAGCCCCCTATTTAAATTCATAAATTCAGAGAGGGCACCTTGTTCTAATTCACACAAAGACAGCAGTCTGGTGTCGGGAACTTGCAATTATTAAGTGAGAAATAATAAGATCCTAAACTGAAGCAGAGAGAGAAAGATATTTACAGTGGCTATTAACTCACCAAATGTTTTGAGGGCCTGTTCTATGCCAACCTCTGAGCATACAAAGGGAGTCATAACTAAGCTCTGTCCTGGGACAAGTGACGAATTAAGATAGTTGGTGATGGAAACAAATGCATTTCAAATGTCAAAAGCCTGATTTGCCATCTGCCTTCCCAACCTGCTCTTGATCCTAATGTCTTCATTCTGGTTAATGTTTCAGCATTCCAGAATCTCAAAACCCCAGAATCAGCTTTGACTCTTCCTTGGCCCCAATCGGTCCAGCTTTGTAGGACTATCCCTGCAGCATGGCTCATACTTTCCTCCACTTTGCCTTTCTTACTGCTTCTGACCCAAGTCCTTATTACTCCTCACTTGAACTCCCGAAGGAAACTTCCAGCTGTTCTCCCTATTTCCAATCTCTTTGCTCTCCAATCCATTCTGCTTTGGCAGGTTCTTTAAACCCAGTGTTGACCAAATCCTATCAAGGGTCTACATCTCAAACAGGATGCAGCTGAAACTCATTGGCTTGATATTTGAGTCTCTCCATAATGGGACCTCGCGTTTCATGTTTCCACTCCAAACATCTTCTTCTGTTTCCTGGTGATTTCTGATAGTCGCTGTGCCTCAAATATCCTTACCCTCCATCTCTGACAATCAAAGCCTACACACTACATACACATTTTCCATGAAGGGCTGGCTGTCTTGTGAGGCACTGAGCTTTCAGTGTTCCAGAAAAAACTAAACAAAACCCCTGAAGGAATCTTGTTCCGGGAATCCATCGAGCGGGGAGGGTTGTATGAACAGTAGTTCCCGAAGCCTAGTTAATCATCAGAATCACAAGGATAGCTTTTGAAAGATTCAGATTCCTGATCCCTTCATTCTAGAAATTCTGATTTGAGAAGTTTGGAGTAGTGCCTTGTGAATCTGTATTTCTAAAACTTTTGGTAAGATTTGTGATCTCCCCAGATGACCACTTAAGGTCTCTTTCATTATTACATTTCTATGATAAGGAGCTTCCCCTGGGCCTCCCAGAAGAATGCAGTTGTTTCCACCCCTGTATCAAGAGCATTTGTCATAATCTCTCTTGTGTCATAACAATTTAAATCTGTTTCAGGCTCCTCCATAATGTTGCATGATCCTAAAATTAAGAGTCTTGTGTAGCACTCACTCTCAGGGCCAAAATCGTCTTTCTATAAAGATTTACCAAATTAAATTGAATTTGCTTGCAGTAGACCTGAAACATGCTATTTTCAGGACCACAAAGAATGAGAGTCTAAACAAAACTGAAAATGGCACTATTAAATACAGAAGTTTCCTGATAGCTGGACTTTGGTCTTAGATGTGAAAGATTAGCAAACCTGAAATGTGTACTTTTCATTGAAACTGGATGTACACCATTATTTCAAATGCAAATGTGAAGTCTTCTAGTGATATTTCATTTGGGTTTCAGACTCATTAGTCCCTCATCTTGTCAACCCCTTTTCTTCTGATGCTGATTTTCCCCTCCATTCTTCATATTTGCTACTTTTCTTTATCTTAAGTTGATCATTGGCAGTTATTTTAGAGCATGATGATAGATTCTAAAAGTTATGTGGCACAAAACAGCCACAGAAATTTTTCTCTTTGTGGAAATATGCCCAGGAAGTATTACAACATCATGAGAGGAAATTTCTAGACACAATATTACTTTTTAAGTTGTCTATGTACAAAACATGGCACCACCAAGAATATATAAAAATTTGTAAGTAGATCTTTTAATACATAACAATATAGGCAGTTTTCTTTTTTAAAGAATCAACTTTATTGAAATATAATTATAGACAAAAAAAACCTTTATCTCTTTAAAGTGAAAAATTAGATGAGTTTTGACTGTAGATACTCATGAAACCATCATCACATACAGAACCTTTATTCACACCCAAAAGATAATTTTTCTTTCAAAAATAATCATTCCAAAAGCAAATCCAAACAGAGTACATAAGAAATTCCCTCCTCTTTCCAAAATATGTTTAATTGGGTATAAAATGGAATTCATGCAAACCAATGATTCCCAACAGGGGGCGATTTGTCTCCCCCAGGAGTCAGTCCTTTGGCCATGTCTGGAGACATTTTTGGTTGTCTGGATTTGGGGTGGGTGTTACAGTTTATCTGCTGGGTAGAGCACAGGGATGCTGCTAAACATCCCACAAGGCACAGAACAGCTCCCACTACAACAAAGGATTAATGGTTTAAAATGTCAATAGTGCTGAGGTTGACGAACCCTGGTATAGATCCATTTCCATAATTGACCATGAATGAAGCAATGCAGTACTCACTCTCTGAACATTGCATTTGCTTATTGTCCTGCCTGAAATGCCTCTCCACCGCCCAGCAACAAATCTATAAGGAGGGTACTATTTTTCTACCCATTTTATAATTGAAAGAAACTGAGGCTTAGTAAGATGAACTAACTTGGCCAAGGTCAC